GTCTGTTTCTCCCTCTGTCTGTCTGTCTGTCTGTCTGTCTGTCTGTCTGTCTGTCTCTCTGTCTGTCTGTCTCTCTGTCTGCCTGTCTGTCTGTCTCTCTGTCTGTCTGCCTGTCTGTCTGTCTGTCTGTCTGTATGTATGTCTGTCTGTCCCTCTGTCTGTCTGTCTCTTTGTCTCTCTCTCTGTCTGTCTCTCTGTCTGTCCCTTTGTCTGTCTGTCTCTCTGTGTCTGTCTGTCTGTCTGTCTGTCTGTCTGTCTGTCTGTCGTCTGTTTGTCGTCTGTCTGTCTGTTGTCTATCTGTCTGTCTGTCCGTCTGTCTGTTTGTCTGGTGACGAGCACGAGCCGCCACGGCCCTCTGCGACCACCGCTCGGCTTCGTCCATGCCCCACCAACAATCCGACGCGTACGGCGATGATCCAGGAGACTGAAAGAGGCACTTGTTCCCCGCGCACTCAGGCACAGCCCGCGCAGCAGCGAATTGGAGAGTAGTGGTACAGCGCCATCTAAAATATTCTCACCCAAGTGCAGTTTGTATGTACGTCTATGAGGCAGCACCATATATTATACTGTTCGGGAGATACTGCCGGTTACGCCTGACGCAGGACAAGGTTAGACTAAACTTAGCTTCGCTACTAAAAAAATGGATTTGTCAAATGAGTCCACCCTAACGCGGACACTTGGGCGAGGTGGTATACGGCACACTCAAAAGCCCAAAGGGCGCAAAAGAAGTGAGGTCTACAAACCACACGTTTTTGGCGCCGCTCTTCCGTACTCTCCACATGCAAAGTTTGGCCATTCGGTACACTGTGACAGATGTCATTCCTAGCAGTAAGAAATTAAAAAATACCACGAAATATTCGACGCTATTGAACAGTGATCTGTGGTATCTCACAGCGAAAGATTTAAAAAAGTTTTGTCATTCTCTTACGCCTACTGAATAAAATAAAAAAAGAACAGGTTCGAGGTTGCACATTGCCGCGTGTACTCGTAGACACGTTTTCTAAAGCATCAGTAATTAGTTAATTTATGCAACGTGCCTAACCAAGATATCACTACGAAACACTTGAAGCCATAAGCTTTATTAAACTCTCAACGACACCAAGAAAATAAGTGGTTATTACAGACTCTCTGACAGCACTGGCATGTGTGGAAAATGCCACTTCAAGTCACTTTGATGTGCGTATAGTATACGCTATACTAAAAGAGCTCTTAGAAGCTAAGAGGTCGAACCATCGAGTGGCATTTCAGTGGGTTCCCAGTCACTGCGGAATTAAGAGAAATGAAATGGCGAATAAGTTAGCGAAAACCACTCATAATTCTACGCAAACGTGTCTCATTCCGGTATCTCAATATGATGTAAATAGAATTTTAAGAACAACAAAACGTGAATTATACCTGTCTACCTGGTTCACAGACAGAACAAAGGAATCAAATCTATATTCTGTTGATCCTAATCTTGAATACCAATAAGACCATGACTTCCCAAAACGTATCGACACACTCATACATCTCCTACGACTCGGAACTGCTTACACAAAGCACTTCCTACTTCGTATTCAGCGTGCAACATCGTCAGCATGTTCATGCGGCCACGACGATGAGGATATCTGTCACCTCTTGCTAGACGGTCCCAAACACGACACACACCGAAGGCGTCTAGAACAGGAACTGCATAAGTTAGATCCCGAGCGGCCATTTGCGTTTGATAAAATACTAGGTCCATGATTATCCAAAACAAGCGGTAAAGCAATAAAGGTGCTGCAACAGTTCTTCGAAGAAACGAAGGTTTGTGACAAATACTGAGCGGACAAAAGTTAAAAGTGAGCGTGGTGTCTACGTGTTTGTTCTGCCCATAGGAGAACTTTTGCTCTCACCCATGTAGGACTGTATATATGTATATATGCTATTGTTTTTATAGTTTTTATTTGTACCAATCAAGTGGAAAGAGGTAGCCGTCGCCAAGTAACGGTGACAAAAACTCCTTCGTTTATTTTCTATTTCGATAAAAAAAGAAACCATTTTTTTAGGGGCGAAGCTCCTTCAGACCTCATGATGTCCGCCGTCTCCCATCTGTCCGTAACACCATGTAACCTTAAACTTATAAGCAACAGAGGGCGTTGGTGGTAACCGTTTTGCATGTATCCTTCAACTTATAAGCAACAGAGGGCACTGTGGTTAATTGTAGATGTGATGGCGCTGCTGTCAACGCTATATATATATATATAACCACGTTCCATACCACACATTCTCCTCTCTCATATGGACGAAGACGAACGCAGGAAAGCGCGACGTGCTGAGTATCAGCGTCGCCGTCGACGAGAGGCTACCGCGGAGACAAAAGAGAAGGAAGCGGATGCAAAGCGGCGACGGCGACAACAAAGTTCTACACCGCAGACTAAAGCTCAGGAAGCAAAGGCTAAGCGGGAAAAACGCTAAGCTGACGCGCAGTTGAGACAACTTGAAGCGGATGCAAGGCGGCAATACGAAATTCTACACCAGAGACGATAGCTAATGAAGCTGTGATTATGAAGTCGAAACGTAACCCGGAACTCGGAACCTCATATCAGCTATAAAAAAGAATCGCCGCTATGTCACAATCGGTCTCAGCACTATCTCTTTGAATAAAAATATATATATAAGTATCACAACCACAATCGTTCTCAGTACTATCTCAACTTTAATCACAATAATCATCTCCAAAAGCTTCGCCCTATAATTATCTTCAAGCAGCTTGAAATGCAGCGATTTTTTTTAGCTTAAATATTGTAGTGATGCTGAGGCAGACAGGTTAAAAAAACAAGCGTCTTTATTAGGGCGAACTTGTGCCCACGATTCTAAAGACTATGGTCGTCAAGTCCGAGTAGCCGAGTGGCACAGATCACACCATCTTCCTCTTCCTCGTTGTTGGAGCGCACGAACGCGTGGCGCATGCCAGCCGGGTCTTGCTGGTGCCACGATGACTGTGGCGGGCTACTTGAACGTGGCGAACCTGTCGCAGCAATATAATGCATGGGAGTTCCTGCGTTTCATCTCCATTGAAATGCAGTCGTAGCGGCAGTGAATCAAACCCGCGTACTCGCGCCCAACAGCTCAATACAGTAGCCACTGGGATGTGTTAGTGAACAAAAGTTATAAAGAAGGAGTGAAATACGAGAGCCAGGCTGACGCGACGTAAAATTCGAGTCATTCCTGCTTAACGACGACCGAAGCGACACGTATCGAATAAATGCCATCGACCCGAGTGCCCCTTCAGCATTGGTGTAACCTGGGATTACTGCCCTTTCACTTTGATTCTTTTCCTTACCACGTAAATCATTTCTCATCTTGCGTAGTTTCGTCACACAAGAAATGTTTGTTTTTCTCCTAACTTAGTGCCTTCATATTCAGGGATCGAGAATTCGTCAGCCAGAAGATATCATCTTGCGTCATTCTAGAGCCACACGAAGGCTTAGGTAACGTGAAATGAATTCGTCAAGCGAGCGCCAGAATTGTGAAACGCCCTGAAAAACAAAATGAATAAGTATTATACGACAACTTGAGGAGTGTGAAGAAGTAGCTCTGGCGGTGTAAGTTATGGAGTGGCGAAACGTCCTGATAAAGTAGTGGGGACAGAATGTATATCACTCCTTTTTTGGCGCTAACAGGAAAACACTGAGTGTGTGTGGGGGGGGGGGGGGGGGGGGGAAACGAAAGTTTTTGCTCGGAGCTTTTATTTATCTTTTGCGAAGATGCGAAAAATATGCATACGCTCATGACGTGTGTGCATGTCGTGTTAGCGCACCAACCACGATCTATTCCAGCATGTGGCTCTGTCTTGTCAAGCAAAACTTGCAAGTGTGCAGCTGTCCTCACCCTGGAATTCAGTATTATACAGAGCTCGCGCTGAAGAAGAAAATAGAGAGAGAGGAAAGAAGAGGGAAAAGGGAAGCTTGTCAAAACAGTGGATTCATTGACGCCCCTAATTTTAATTTCCAAGCTTGCATCTTCCCCCGTTTTTTGTTGTTTTTTATGTGCGCGCGCGCGCGCATGCACGTGCGTATAACTACTGACGGAATGTGGTACCAGTGAGAGCACCGAAAGCTACGCAGGAGAGATGACAAGCGGATAGGTCTTATCTTCAGCGTGCGTCATGACTATGAGCCCCCACCCCCCTTTTTTTTCCCCCTTCGAACGCGAGGCTTCTTTTCAGTGTAATTGCGAGTGGGCACGTGGCGCCCTTCTTCGGCGGTCGCGATAACTATGCAGTCCACGTTGCTCAAATGATTCAGTGGCCATGGACTTCTGGTTTGTGACGCCATCATTTGGGTTTATGCCATTATTTGTGGAGAGACAACGGGACTGATAATTTTAAATTCCTGGTCGCGTACAGCGCTACAATGTTTGGCTCGCAGAAGCCTCGAATCCCGATCAGCAGCGTTTTCAGGCCATGTTGAAAAAGCGTTGTTCCTTCCTCCACTTTCATAGCCCGTTTAAACGTACATTATTAAACAAACGGTATTGTTAAACTTTTTTTAAAGATCGCGCCTAGCCAAACACTCATTTATCGGTAGTCATCGGGAGCGGTCGCTACTACAACGCCCACTAAAAATCTGCCATCTTTAACGCTTATAGAAACAGGGTTTAGCGTCCCAAAACCACCATATGATTATGAGAGACGCCGTAGGGGAGGGCTCCGGAAATGTCGACCACCTGGGGTTCTTTAACGTGCAATACGGAGGGCTTGTGGCACTAAACAGAAATGGGTCACGCCTTTTTTTCGACGCCCCGCCACGGTGGTCTAGTGGCTAAGGTGCTGACCAGGCCGCGGGATCAAATCCCGGCTCCGGTGGCTGCATTTTCGGTGGAGGCGGAAATACTATAGGCTCGTGTGCTCAGATTTGGGTGCACGCTAAAGAACCCCATGGTGGACTAAATTTTCGGAGCCCTCCACTACGGCGTCTCTCATAATCATGTGGTAGTTTTGGGACGCTAAACCCTGCATATATATTATTCAATCAGTGTTTTGATGCCGTTTTCAAGGGTCGGCGCAAAGCAGCCTTTATTTCCGGACACGCAAGACACCAAACAAGGGATCCGGTGGTGGTGGTTTATGACGGGTTCAGCGGAGACATCGTGTGGTCGATATCTCCTGCCGGGTGGCACGCAAACAGCGTAAGCGAAAAGAAAGTGCGAGATGCGTAAAGCAACCGCCTATCACCACGACGATTCGCAGCCACACGTGTCCAAGTCGATTTCTCCGCGACAAACCAGGCTGCAGATCGGTCGTTTCTTCGTCGACGGTGGTTCGACGATCACAGCACTAGCGTTAGACACGTCACCGCCTGTAATGAACACAAAACAAGTTACTGGGCAACATAACTAAAAACGGTAGATATATTAGATAAAGATTGAATGAAGACCGTTACATAACTATAACAGCGAATTGCCGACGTTATGCAGACTCGCCAACAAAGTAATGCCGGTAGTACCTGCGTAACTATACGTCATTACGATACCATAAGAAATTATCGAGCAGATGGCTTTTACTGGCGTCGTTGTGGTCGCCATCTCCATGTATTCTACGGGCTAGCACGTAGAGCAGATGTGTGGACAGAACTCGGAACAGCCCAACAGGCACGCCGGTCACAGTCAAAAAAGTAGCACGATGTGCGTAGGGTAAGCGCCGCACTGGCGTCATCGTGGCCGCCATGTCCGAGTGCTAGCACGATGACAAGCTACGCCAGTGATGTCACGTGAAAGTTATCTATATGTCCGTTATATAATTCCGTCCAGGTTACTCATTTCTCACTACCTAAACAACATTTGTCGAAAAAAAAAATTTGTATATTTCCCATAACACGTGGAGAACCGGTGCAGAGCGAGACGATTAAAAAAACTATAAATTATGCCGGGTTATGACGATGCATATCGCTTTTTTACAAGCCAGTCCAGTCTGTAGGCATTGGTACTGATACGAACATGTGGCAAAGTTTTCAAGTGCGTATTATCCCCTCGTTCCCTGTGGCCCGGCATGTACATGCTCACCCCGTGTAGGGTAGCAAACTGAACTTAGTCTAGTTAACCTCCCTACCTGTCTTATATTTTTGCTTATCTCTCTCTCTCTTTCAGATCAGTACTTCGCCAAGCCAGCCTTAAGTGCTCTTGAGCAGCCCGTTATAGATAAGGCTCAAGAGACTCGGCACTGAGCTCTTTATATCGCACTTCTCGTAATCTAAAGTGCGCAGCTTATGGAACTTCACTTATCAAACTCGTGTTACCGAACGCGTGGAAAAAGCCCACGACGTGACGTGAACTTCCTGCAGCACTTGCGCTTTCGTAACGCTGCTTCGCAAATCATTGCCGTTCTGGGCGTGTTTAGTGCCTCGTGCACGCACATATTTGTCACGATCGTGGCAATTGGGTTAAAAAAAATTGCTTTTAAAAAAAAACATAACTGGTTACGATAGCCAAAACTTATTTTTAGCGCTCTTTACCTGATCGAAAAATTAGTAGCCTATATGGAAGCACCAAAATTCGGTGGGGTGTTTTCTACGTATAACATTTTTTGTGTCTAGTCAGAAAAAAAAAATGTCATGATAGAATGTTATTTTTTTTTCAGAAATACGTCTATTTTTGTACATTTTACGTTAAGTAGGGGAACATTAATGGGTGTTCGTGAGCGCGATCTGCCTATATTTACGAGTGCGCCTCCGGCAAATGTACAAAGTACTGCAGGAAGAGCGAGTTTTCCTGCAGAAGGTCAGAATACATAAATCTGTAATTGTGGATTGAAGAAATAAAGACCGCAAATATTCAGCCCGCGCGTTTAGTAACCTGAGTGGTACGGCGAGGACCGTATCACCGTATCACGCCGCACATCACTCGAGCCTCATATGATCACCTTGAAAGCAGGCCTCAAAACTTTAAAAAAGTGTACAAATAACGCGCACATACTCTCCTTATGTCGTCTCAAGTTCCAGCTAACGTATTAGAGTTGACGTTAGGAAAAATTGATCTACAGCTAGCTTTCTCGTTTTATTCGAGGCAGGCTCCTGCACTTTCACAAGCTGTTTTTGTTTATTTACTATCGATTTATCAGTGCTGTATAAATCACTACCCGTCATTTATATATCTGCTATTAAATGCGTTCCCTTCATGTTGCAGTGGTCTTTTTTTTACGTCGCATGATTTATATTTTTTCTTCCCAATGCAGCATTTGTGTTCACGCAACGAAATGTACTACTGTATTTGCAGCTCCAGCGGCCGTGGTAGCTGTACAACGGTGTACAATTCACTGCAATCGTGTAGCGGTACGAATAGGTTATAGACAAGCACGCACAAACTTTACAAGTCCACGTAACGTCGTTTACCGCCCCCCTCCGGTCCTGAGTTATGGCGAATTATCTACGTATACATGTGTTCCACTCCGACTATTCAAAAGTTCTGACCCGAATTCACCGGCTTATTCTGACAAGCTCGTTAGAAGACCACGCCAGGGCTTTGCGTCAGCCTCCTGGAGGTTATGCAGCTCCTTGCGACATCGGCGACAAGACGGCAGCTGCCTTTCCAGCGTCGGCTCTCGCTCTGGATACATTGTGCCATGCCAGGCGCTCTATCGCCACGCCCTCTCAGTGATGCATGGCCAGTGTCGTGTAAGCAGGATACTAAAGAGCACGAAGGGCTAAACAACTAAACATTGTTGGCAAAGTTAGTTTACGGTTCGGCGTATGTTAAGTTCCGGTCTATGTGGTTTCGGTTTCGAAGACATTGTCTTCATTACGTGTAAGAAATCACGACACAAACCTTTGCTGCAGCACAGGCAGCCCCTAGCTCCAGCGGCGGCGATGACCTGACACTCCATTGCGGAAGTGACGTTCGGAGCACACTTGTCGCAGGCTGTACAGTGCTCGGTCGAGCATAAAGGCAGTCGAGCCGCCGACATGGCCGTAAACAAAACCACGCTGACGAAGAAGAGCGAGCCGTGAATCAAGGCACCCATGTGGCTGGTTCGCTTGTCCTTAGACACTGCGTTCGCGGCAGAAGGAGCAAGCGCACTTAAACACAGTGGCTTTATCGGAGTGCAAACTGTAAGCAGCACGATTTGACAGTGCCTATCACTTGATAACGATCGAATCTAAATGTATATGTGGTGGCAAAGTTTTGCGGGATCTGCGAGCGTACTTTTTACGAGCACCGAAAAGTACGCATGTGCATGCACCGTCACGTGTCTGCACCACGTGTTTGCTTCGTCACAGGCAACCAGAACGCAGGTTGTCCCATAGCCTGACCGGCGTTCGCAGATGCCGCAAAATTTCATCCCCACGTGCACGAACATTTGTTGTGACGACTGCGATTCTGATTTGAGAAACTTGTGAGTATGCATCATGGATGAAGTTGCCGAAAGCGGCCTGATACCGCAGTGCCAAACGAAGCAAGCACATGGTTTGGCATGGTTTGAAGCGGAACGCAAGAAAATGGCGTACTTATGTATCTTGACATGAAACATTAAATCGAGGATTACGCTAGTGCGACCTGGTTTGTCACCAAGACGAAATTAATTGTCGACGTGAGCTTGCCCTTGGGAATCCTGTGCCCCGCACCACCAGTGGAAAGAAGCGGTGATTTTGAGCAGTGCGTGCGTCGATAAATGTAACTGAAATAAATATAATCTATTCGGCGTTTCGGACCCTCAGTAAAGTACAAAACTTACAGTACTCACGGACTGAAACAGGAAACTCGGAGCATGTGGCCGCCGGTACTTGTGTAGTCGCTCGTGGAACCAAGGTGTTGGTATAGAGTGGGGTGAAGAACACCTACAGAGCAGGATTGTGTACTCCTTTCGGTCGTCGGCATTCATTTCACGAAGACCAGGATTCTTTTTCAGACCTCAACGAACATGACAACGGAAAAAACCGTAGCACAAACACGAGAGCAAAAACTTTAATGAATTTATGATCTGTTGAATTTCCTTACATGTGATCTGACCCACGCATTTAATTCGCATTTGTGATACTGAGGTAGTGCAGAACGACCATGACCAGGGGCGTAGGCAAAAATTGTTTTCGTGGCAAGGAGGGGGTGAGGGGCTAAATTTTTTTTTTTATGTTTGAGTGCGCGTGTGTATGTGCGCATACGCAGACACACGAAAATTGAAAAAAAATAGGGGGAGAAATGTGATTACCCCACATACCTCCCCCCCCCCCCCCCGGGCCATGCGACTGATTATGACTTCGCCATGACGGTGCGCTTATGGTAGGGAAACTCTACAAAGAAGACTGGACACAGTTTAATAGGCACAGGGCAAAGCCACATGTTCTCTGTAGTCTGTTCTTCATAGCGTCTCCCTACCGTAAGCGCATCGCCAAGCCATCATGAACCAGCTCGTCATTTCTGTCTCATTACTAATTATCACTCCAGTGAATCAAAATTACCTCGACAGGTCAACGTTTTCATGCATCGTTACGCTGCATCTCATTAGTTACCTCAGTGTAGAACACTTCTGCGGTACGTTCACAAAGTAAGAGACGTTAATGCACAAATCCTAAAATATAGGCTAATCATTATTACCAGCCAGATACAGCCATAAACACTCAACTTCAGGACAAAAGAAGTTCCCGTTTTTTCGGCTCGGACAGGATTTCCTAGCAGCTAAACGGGAACGCTGTCGACCCAGCTAACGAAGCGAAGAATGCGTTCACCCCGCCCGGCTCTCAAAGCTTTCAAAATCTGGGAAAGATTTTTAACGACCTTCGTCATAAAAAGGGGCGTCTCGGGACAGGTGCCTTTCCGTCGAATCTCTGCTGCCGGCATTCTTAACGGGACATAACCCGATCGACGACCTCGACACTCTATGGCTGTGGATGGCCAGGATTATGGCACGCACGCGCTGGATTTTACGGCTAGTTCAAAAACAATTGTCACGCAACTTCTGTAGAAATGGCAAATTTCGGGAAGAAAGTAACATAGGGAATCGTGAGAAGGAAGACTTCGACTTTGCGGGGTGGGTGTGGAGAGGGAAAGGGAAGACTGAAAGAAATCACGAGGCCAATCGTATATTCGTATCGACCCCGTTGTTGTTACGAACGCAAGGTTAGCACAATGCTGAAATCTATATGAAAGACCAGCTTCGGGATACGTGAAGTGCGAGGCCGTATCTTGGCAATAGAAAGGAATAAGAAGGGAAAATAACAGCTGTCATGGAGACCTCGCTATAGTTCTGAAACGCATATTCCGAGCTTACAAGCGCACATTACACGCTCCCGATCGTGTACGCCAGGGGCTACATGGCTACGAACCACGCTAAGAGCTCGAAGTGTGGCAGCTTGGGCTAGTTGGTATGGCATGACGATAGTTATGGCGCGAGAACAAAACGACGACAGTTTCGTGTCTTTCGTGTCCTTCTTGTCTCTGCGTCGTCGTTTTGTTCTCGCGCTATAACTCTCGTCAAGAGCTGGAATTTCAAACTGAACGTCGTCTGCTCTTGGCTCTTCTGCTCGCGGGTGGCGCGCTCTAGGGACGGGGCAATGAGATACAACACCGAGTTCGTTACGTAGATAAATGTGCTGCGTTGCACACCAAATGGAGCATCGATGTCTTCCTCGCCAATGCACGAAGCGGCGGGCGAAGTGCACCTCGAGAAAATTCCGCCGCCATGACCGCAAATAGACACCGCGCCCTCCATATTAGCAGGATTAACAACTAGATGTCGTGTAGTGATGTTCAAGCGCACGAGCCGGTATACGCACTAGCGTGTTTTATTGTCTTGCTCTTGCTCTTGAAGTTGGTACAGTGTACCGCACGCCGACATCCGTAATGAATGGACTCCGTAATAACGATGGAACTCTTTCTCTCCGTATCGGAAAGGGAACGCCATCTAGTGCTACGTCACGACTCATCTTTATCGCAAAGATTCATCATTCCTAACAATTAAGCCAGATCCAGTATTATTCTGTCTCTCACGTAATGCAAGTATGCGCACACGTATAAAAAAATATGCTGTGACCTGGAAAAAATGGTAGAACAGGGCCCAGTATACAGACGCCGAGCTTATACACGTTTTCAGTGATAGAACTGACTTTTTACTTTTTGGAACAGACTTTGGAGCAGAAAAAGTACCCCTTTGGAGCAGCCATAAGTGTTTTGGAGCATAAAAAAAATATCAGTTTGGAGAGCAGCTATTGGTGTTTCACGACCAGATGCAAAATTAGCCACAGAACTCCTGGAGTTCAAAGTATTGCCGAAGCGTCACATATATATTTATGTATATTATGACATATATTTCACAGACAACAACCAATGTGAATTGCAAGGAAAAAAATTAAAAAGCTAGTTGCTTATAAGGTGCACCATGAAATGAGATATATATTTAAGGTATCAGTGATTGTGGCAGAAATGAAATCAAACCAATAAAGCCGAGCACCACATTTTAGAAGCAATCACAGTTCAATATACCTGTTGCCAAATAAAGAGGAGATAATAGGAGCAGAAAGCCGGAAGCTTACTAAGAGGGTGCAACTTAAATTGAGAACAACGCAGCTAGCGATAAGTGATAGGCGTAACCTAAAGAGACAGGATGAGAGCAGAGTGGGTCAGGGGAATAAACGGGGGTTAAGGATACCATAGCTGAAATGAAAAAAAATTACGGCATATTCACGGGGTGAATGATGATGAATGGGCGAAGCTCCGGAGGGATTCATCGGTAAACTGTGAATCTTCCGTGTAATTCGCCCAGTCGATCATCATGTAAAGACGTGAGAAACGCTGTGTGTGTATATACACAAATCAACTTTTATTTGTTCTTAGACGATGGATGGCTTGCGATGTCCCTTGCCTCGCGCGCTCGCACATCGGGATTCTGTCTGCGAGCGCGCGCTGCTGCCGCCTTGCGCTCTCTCCGCTGTGCAGCCTTATCCATCCGGTGACTCCGAGCGCGCGCCAACAGCGAACAGATTTTATTACAACGCTCCCCCTAGCGTACGTCGCCGAACTAAATCGAACGATTGCCTTCAACCAATGACACGCGCCATATGTGACATCATTCCTATTTTATAAGATCTCGCATCTTTCATCAACTACAAGTACCGCTTTCTAGTTTATAATATCTTGCATCTTTTCATCATCAGCTACAAATACCACCATCTAGTAAACACTACAAGAACTAAACGAGAGGTGGCTACATACAGGAGACGGTACCGCCATCTAGTGAACACTGCAAGACCTAACTAGAGGTGGCTACATACAGGGGACGGTACCGCCATCTAGTGAACACTGCAAGAACTAAACTAGAGGTGGCTACATACAGGCTACAGGGGACGCACAGCCCACGCCCTAAGGAGCTTCGCCCCTAAAAATAAGTAATGTACATGGACCAGGCAGGTAGTACGCAGGCAGGATAATCGCAGGATAACCGCTGGTAAGCTGATAGGCAAACGCGTGAAAGGGAGACAGAAGATCAGGTGAGCTTGAGAAGTGTTCAGGTATAGTATGGCAGCTGAAAGCACAGGACACTGGGTTGATTGGCGGAACATGACAGCATGCATGGGCGGATATAGCGACTTATTTCAGGCTGGTGGGAGCGGTCGTTTGAAGTTACACCAGAATGGGGGTCCTGGCTTTTTTTTTTTATTCTAGTAGCACGAAAACCCCGTCATAGCGTAAATACTGTAAATTTGTGCTCACAGTGGTCCTATTCAACATTTCTATCTAGTAGGTGATAGGAGGTGAATGACAAGCACTGAAGAGAGGGAGGTGCAGACACAATCTTTGGGTACGAAAGGGGTATCACCAATACCCTTCCCCCCTCCCTCGGGATCCGCCACTGCATAAGAGAGGCCTTTGCTCTGCAGTGGACGCAGTCAGGCTGATGATGATGAATCAGTATGAGATTCTTATACTTATTTTTACTTTTTACCAAAGTAATTCATTGATTGATTTGTGGGGTTTAATGTCCCAAAACCACCATAAGATTATGAGAGACGCCCTAGTGGAGGGCTCCGGAAACTTTGACGACCTGGGGTTCTTTAGCGTGCACCCAAATATGAGTACACAAGAATACAACATTTGCACCTCCATCGGAAATGCAGCCGCTACAGCGGGGATTTGATCTTGCGACCTGCGGGTCAGCAGCCGACTACCTAAGCCACTTGACCACCTGGCGGGGCGTTTTCCCAAAGTAGTCTGCCTCTCCGGTTAAAACAAAAAAGCTATGTGGCCTACATGCTTGGCATGCCAGTTGCTGTTCTATAAATAAAGTCAATGCCGATAATGCTGCACACTTGTATCCTACTGGCATGATAGTGCACAGAGCTTTTTCTTACGAGTTGGGTGTACAGTTTCTTCATTCTCATTCTCTCAGCACCATTTTGGTGGCAGGTTTTGAGCAATCAATAGCAATTATCATAGCTTAGAGCATCATGAAGCCACTTTTTTTTTTTAGCAGTTTGGAGCAATCGGAGCAGCACTTCCATCACTGCGTTGGCCCTGAGAGAGGTGCGAGGAAAGAGTTATATTTCAATAACAAGAAAATATCCACTGCTTCCAAACAAACAAATAAAAACACGCTCACCTAACGCAAGAGACGGGGCAAGCGCTCGTGCTAATAGCAGCTGCGCAGTGGCCATTTTCTTATCATTCTACAGAACTATTTCTGGCACTTCTCTCTGAGCTACAATGCATTAACTCAGAGCGAACATCTGCAAACTTGATTTTTATCAAAATGCCGAAATTAAAAAGGCCGAATTATGAAATGACCAAACATGAAGAGCGCCTGAAAATTGAAATGCCGAAAAATCGAAATGTCGAATAGACATAACGCCTAAAACCACTTTAGCCATGCCAAAAACCACTCGAAGTTTCGTTTATTCGGAGGGTAATTGACGAGAAAGTGTGATGAACCCCCAGAAGCGAAAAACCGACCTTATCTGCTGACATGGTTATGTTTATGTGTTTGACAAGAAAGTAGGTTCTAGACATAATGGAAGGCGTGAGAAGCAAGAAGAATGGAACGCCAGAGTGATTACCGACTTTCCTGTTGAATAATGTAGAAGATCCGCGCAAGCCATGCTCTTTCGGATCATCGCCTCTTAGAAAAGAGAGCAACCTTTAGATTCGAAGACAACGTTGAGGGATCGGTTGAAGACCAACACTGCCGCTCACTAAAGAAAGAGCCTAGGTTACGCGAAAATCGTTTGACAGCTTATCTGGGAAACAGGTACGATGTCGACGCCCTCGACAAGATAGATAGATAGATAGATAGATAGATAGATAGATAGATAGATAGATAGATAGATAGATAGATAGATAGATAGATAGATAGACAGATAGATAGATAGATAGATAGATAGATAAATAGATAAATAGATAAATAGATAAATAGATAGATAGATAGATAGATAGATAGATAGATAGATAGATAGATAGATAGATAGATAGATAGATAGATAGATAGATAGATAGATAGATAGATAGATAGATAGATAGATAGATAGATAGATAGATAGATAGATAGATAGATAGATAGATAGATAGATAGATAGATAGATAGATAGATAGATAGATAGATAGATAGATAGATAGATTTTAACGCCCCAAACCCACCATATGATTATGAGAGACGTCGTAGTGGAGGGCTCCGGAAATTTCGACCACCTGGGGTTCTTTAACGTCCACCCAAATCTGAGCACACGGGCCTACAACATTAGAGCCTCCTTCGGAAATGCAGCCGCCGCCGCCGGGATTCGATCCCGCGACCTGTGGGTCAGCAGCCGAGTACCTTAGCCACAAGACCACCATGGCGGGGTCGCCCTCGACAAGGAAATGGGACACAACTCAATTGTCTCAAATGCAACATTACCAAGCGAGGTATTTTGATGTGCTTGGTTTAAACCCACAAAGACTGTGAGCAATACTCGGCGTTGGTCCCACCTCAGCGTAGGATAAGCTTCAAGTTTGTAGTTTATAGTTTGGTCAATAATGCGCGCAGGACGCGAACACTCAAGATTATTCCAGAGCTTGCGCGACCGCCATCGATTAGGCTCGAAAGTTCGATTCGTGGTGTATAAAAGACGGCGCATCTCAACGATGATAATTTTGACGACGATTGGCACACTGTGCGTGCGCCAATATCAGTGTACAGCGAGCATTGTTTGGTGTAATTCGACTTTTTGTTACGCGGCCTCAAGTTCAGCCAAATAAAGAGTTTGACCTTGAAGCTGCTTCCTTCGACACCGTCATGACGTGCGCGTTACAATACGCAAGGACTCGCTCTGCTATGAGATATGCTGCAACATATATATATTTTTTTTCGAAGGCTGCTTGTAACCATATGCGAAGGTACCATGGCTGTTGGAAAAGAGGACAAAGGCATGTACTCATCGTACAAGGCCGCCAGGACCTTTATCTTGGCAAGACCCTCTATCTTCATGCTGATGCAGAAATTTTGACGTTCCGGCATTCAAATGTCTCGATGTTTTGGTTTTCCGGCATTTCAAGATTTTGGTTTTTCGTCAATTCGGCTTTTTAAAATATTTAGTGTTTTGAATTCCGGCGTTCTGACAATTCGCAATTTTGATTTTCGGCGTTTTAAATGCCACCCCCTCCCCCAAACACAAATGCGCGCGCGCGTAGACACATATTTTTTTTTCATATCCTCCCCTTAAGTTTGAACTCAAGCATTTAATCAAGTTTAATATAGCGAATTCTCTAATACAATAGCATCCCGCCACGGCCGTCTAGTGGTTACAGTGCTCCACTGCTGACCTTAGGTCCCAGCATTGAATCCCGGCCACGACGGCCGCACTTTGATGCTGGCAAAAACGCTCGAGGGCCATGTTTACTATGATTTAGGTGTTAAACAGCCCCAGCAGGTCGAAATTTCCAGAGCCCTCCTGTTATGGTGTCTCTTTTAATCATATCGTGGTTTTGCGACGTTGAACACAATAGGTTATAAGTATTATTATAGTTATTCTACTTATATCCAATGCGAGCAATTTTCTGTACATCAGTAATCTTCGACGACTTGCGCGGGAAGTCACGTTTTCACTATGGTTTCCACCAAGAAACGACATGAATCGTCAACGCCACCTGTCCTCTTTGATGGCTCTCCACATGCCCACTGGGCTCCACCGAAGAGAAGCCACCCTTCTTCATCGCTTATGGCTAGGAGTGGCATTTACAAAATCTTACTCCTCTGTCATAGGAATGGCCGACAACACTCTCTGCGATGCCTGTCATTGCGAGGAGACGGCACACCACATCCTGTGCGACTGTCCTTTGTATGACATCCAGAGACAATCACTGACATCCGTTCTTGCGCGCATCGACAACAGACAAATGTCTGTGGACACTATTCTGTCAAGTGCCCGAGAGAAGACATTGCAACAGAAGGCAACAAAAGCTCTGTTAAAATTCCTACGCGACACAGACTTGAACAAGCGGCTGCAACAGCAATGTCACTCACCGCGAAAGTCAAGACTGGACAATGACTGAGTGTGTGCGCGTGTGCTGACGAATGTGCTGTGTTTATCTCTCTTGCCTCTCTGCTCTCTATCTTTCATTTCCCCCATCCCCCTCCCATGCGCAGGGTAACAAACCGGCTGCCTATAAGGCTGGTTAACCTCCCTGCCGTTCTTTTCCTCCTATTTTCCTTCCTTCCTTCTCTGCAGCATCTCAAATAAATCCACCATGACGCAACAGGTGCGAATACGGAGGGCTTGCGCACTGAACAGAAACTGCAGTCAAGCAGTGTTTCGACACCCCGCCGCGGTGGCCTAGTGATTAAGGTACTCGGCTGATGACCCGCTGGTCGCGGAATGGAGGCAGAAATGCTGTAGTCCCGTGTGCTCAGATTTGGGTGCACGCTAAAAAGCCCCATGGTGGTCTAAATTTTCGGAGCCCTCCACTACGGCGTCTCTCATAATCATGTGGTAGTTTTGGGACGTTAAACTTCACATATCAATCAATCAGTGTTTCGATGCCATTTTCAAGGAACGGCGCACAACAGCCTTTATTTCCGGACATGCGCGTCGCCAAACAGTGGATCCGGTGGTGGTGGTTTATGACGGGTTCAGCGGAGACATTATGTGGTAGAAATCTCCTGCCGGGTGGCCCGCAAGCAGCGTAAGCGAAAAGGAAGTGCGAGATGCGTAAAACAACCACCTATCACCACGACGATTCGCAGCCACACCTGTCCAAGTCGATTTCTCCGCGACAAACCAGGCTGCAAGTCGGTCGTTTCTTGGTCGATGGTGGTTCGACGATCGCAGCACTAGCGTTAGACACGTCACCGCCTGTAATGAAAACAAAACAGGTTACTGGGCAACAGAACTAAGGAAAACGGTAGATATATTAGATAAAGATTGAATGAAGACCGTTACATAACTATAACAGCGAATAGCCGACGTTATGCAGACTCGCCAACAAGGTAATACCGGTAGTACCTGCGTAACTGCACGCCATTACGATTCCATAAGAAATTATCGAGCAGATGGTTTTTACTGGCGTCGTTGTGGTCGCCATCTCCATGTATTCTACGGGCTAGCACGTAGAGCGGATGTGTAGACAGAACTCGGAACAGCACAACAGGCACACCGGTCAGTCAAAAAAGTAGCACGATGTGCGTGGTGTAAGCGGCACACTGACGTCATCGTGGCCGCTATGTCCGAGTGCTAGCACGATGACAAGCTACGTCAGTGATGTCACGTGAACGTTATCTATATGTCCGTTATATACTTCCGTCCAGGTTACTCATTTCTCACTACCTAAACAACATTTGTCGAAAAAAAAATCATTTGTATATTTCCCATAACACGTGGAGAACCGGTGCAGAGCGAGACGATTAAAAAAAAACTATAAATTATGCCGGGTTATGACGATGCATATCGCTTTTTTACAAGCCAGTCCAGTCTGTAGCCATTGGTACTGATACGAACTTGTGGCAAAGTTTTCAAGTGCGTATTATCCCCTCATTCCCTGCGGCCCGGCATGTACATGCTCACCCCGTGTAGGGTAGCAAACTGAACTTAGTCTAGTTAACCTCCCTACCTTTCTTATATTTTTGCTTATCTCTCTCTCTCTCTTTCAGGTCAGTACTTCGCCAAGCCAGCCTTAAGTGCTCTTGAGCAGCCCGTTATAGATAATGCTCAAGAGACTCGGCACTGAGCTCTTTATATCGCACTTCTCGTAATCTAAAGTGCGCAGCTTATGGAACTTCGCTTATCAAACTCGTGTTCCCGATTGCGTGGAAAAAGCCCACGACGTGACGTGAACTTCCTGCAGCACTTGCGCTTTCGTAACGCTGCTTCGCAAATCATTGCCCTTCGCGGCGTGTTTAGTGTCTCATGCACACACATATTTGTCAGGATTGTGGCAATCGGGTTACAAAAATTTGGTTCAAAAAAAGAACATAACTGGTTACGATAGCCAAAACTTATTTGTAGCGCTCTTTACCTGATCGAAAAATTAGTAGCCTATATATGCAAGCGCCAAAATTCTATGGGGTGTTTTCTACGTATAACTTTTTTTTTGTGTGTGTGTCTAGCCAGAAAAAAGGAAAGTGTCAGGTAAGAATGTTTTTTTTTTTTCAGAAATATGTCTATTTTTGTACATTTTACGTGAACTAAGGGAACATTATTGGGTGTTCGGGAGCGCGATCTGCCTATATTTACGAGGGCGCCTCCGGCAAATGTACAAGGTACTGCAGGAAGAGCGAGTCTTCCTGCAGAAGGTCAGCATATTTATAAATCTGTAATTGTGGATTAAAGAAATAAAGACCGCAAATATTCAGCTCCCGCGTTTAGTAACGTGAGTGGTACGGCGAGGACTTTGTAATAAAAAGAGGTATAGCTGATGTACGACAGCATATTTGTGTTGTAACTATACCTAAAAACAAAAAAAGTTCTACAGTGTGCTATGCAACGCATCCATCACCGTATCACGCCGCACATCACTCGAGCCTCATATGACCACTTTGAAAGCATGCGTCGCAACTTTAGATGTGTACAAATAACGCACACATACTCTCCTAATGTCGGCTTGAGTTCCAGCTAACGTACTAGAGCTGACGTTGGGAAAAAAATGGTCTACAGATATTTTTCTCGTTTCATTTGAAGCAGGCTCCTGCATTTTCCCAATCACTTTTTTATTTACTGTGGAATTATTAGTACTGTATAAATTGCCACCCGTCATTTATATATCTGCTCCTAAATGCGTTCCCTTCTTGGTGCAGTGGTTTTTTTTTTTTTTTACGTCGCACGATTTATATTTTCTCTTCCCAACGCAGAATTTGTGTTCGCGCAACAAATTTACTACTGTGTCCACATAAAAACAGTGCCTACGACGAGGAACAAGAAAAGAAGGAGACAGACAGCGCCACTGACTTCAGTTAGTGCCGCTGTGTTTCCTTTTCTCGTCCCTTGTTATAGGCGCTGTTTTTATGTGAATAATGTCGTACCAACTCGCCCAAGCAACAACTTTAGTTACCACTGTGGTCGCATTTCCAGCGGCCGTGGTAGTTGTATAACGGTGTGTGATTCACTGCAATCTCGCAGCGGTACTCATAGGATAGACAAGCACGCGCAAACTTTAAAAGTCCACTTAACGTCGTCTACCGCCCCCCTCCGGTCCTGAGTTATGGCGACTTATCTACGTTTACGTGTGTTCCACTCCGCCTATTCAAATTTCTGACCCGAATTCGCCAGCTTATTCTGACGAGCTCGTTAGGAGACTACGCCAAGGCTTTGAGTCAGCCTCCTGGAGGTTATGCAGCTCCTTGCGACATCGGCGACACGACGGCAGCTGCCTTTCCAGCGTCGGCTCTCGCACTGGATACATTTTGCCATGCCACGCGCGCTGTCGCCACGCCCTCTCAGTGAGCGTGGCCAGTGTCGTGTAACCAGGATACTAAAGAGCACGAAGGGCGAAACAACTAAACAATGCTGGCAAAGTTGGTTTACGGCTCGGCGTATGTTAAGTTCCGGTCTATGTGGTTTCGGCTTTGAATATATTGTCTTCAAAATGTGTAAGAAAGCATGACACAAACCTTTGCTGCAGCACAGGCAGCCCCCAGCTCCCGCGGCGGCGATGACCTGACACTCCATTTCGGCCGTGACGTTCGGAGCACACTTGTCGCAGGCTGTACAGTGCTCGGGCGAGCATAAAGGCAGTCGAGCCGCCGACATGGCCGTAAACAAAACCACGATGATGAAGAAGAGCGAGCCGTGAATCAAGGCACCCATGTCACTGGTTCGCTTGTCCTTAGATACTACGTTCGCGGCAGAGGGGGCAAGCACACTTAAACACAGTGTATTTATCGCAGTGCAAACTGTAAGCAGCACGATTTGACAGTGTCTATCATTTGATAACGATCGAATCTAAATGTATGTGTGGTGGCAAAGTTTTGCGGGATATGCAAGCGTACTTTTTACGAGCACCGAGAAGTACGCATGCGCGTGCAGCGTCTCGTGTCTGCACCACGTGTTTGCTTCGTCACAGGCAACCAGAACGCAGGTTGTCCTGTAGCCTGACCGGCGTTCGCAGATGACGCAAAATTTCATTCCCACGTGCACAAACATTTGTTGTGACGACTGCGATTCTGATTTGAGAAACTTGTGAGTATGCATCATGGATGAGGTTGCCGAAGGCGGCCTGATACCGCAGTGCCAAACGAAGCAAGCACAGGGTTTGGCATGGTTTGAAGCGGAACGCAAGTAAATGGCGTACTTATGTATCTTGACATGAAACATTAAATCGAGGATTACGCTAGTGCGACCTGGTTTGTCACCAAGACGAAATTAATTGTCGACGTGAGCTTGCCCTTGGGAATCCTGTGCCCCGCACCACCAGTGGAAAGAAGCGGTGATTTTGAGCAGTGCGTGCGTCGATAAATGTAACTGAAATAAATATAATCTATTCGGCGTTTCGGACCCTCAGTAAAGTACAAAACTTACAGTACTCACGGACTGAAACAGGAAACTCGGAGCATGTGGCCGCCGGTACTTGTGTAGTCGCTCGTGGAACCAAGGTGTTGGTATAGAGTGGGGTGAAGAACACCTACAGAGCAGGATTGTGTACTCCTTTCGGTCGTCGGCATTCATTTCACGAAGACCAGGATTCTTTTTCAGACCTCAACGAACATGACAACGGAAAAACCGTAGCACAAACACGAGAGCAAAAACTTTAATGAATTTATGATCTGTTGAATTTCCTTACATGTGATCTGACCCACGCATTTAATTCGCATTTGTGATACTGAGGTAGTGCAGAACGACCATGACCAGGGGCGTAGGCAAAAATTGTTTTCGTGGCAAGGAGGGGGTGAGGGGCTAAATTTTTTTTTTTATGTTTGAGTGCGCGTGTGTATGTGCGCATACGCAGACACACGAAAATTGAAAAAAAATAGGGGGAGAAATGTGATTACCCCACATACCTCCCCCCCCCCCCCCCCCCCCCGGGCCATGCGACTGATTATGACTTCGCCATGACGGTGCGCTTATGGTAGGGAAACTCTACAAAGAAGACTGGACACAGTTTAATAGGCACAGGGCAAAGCCACATGTTCTTTGTAAACTGTTCTTCATAGCGTCTCCCTACCGTAAGCGCATCGCCAAGCCACCATGAACCAGCTCGTCATTTCTGTCTCATTACTTATTTTCACTCCAGTAAATCAAAATTACCTCGACGGGTCAACGTTTTCATGCATCGTTACGCTGCATCTCATTAGTTACCTCAGAGTAGTACACTTCTGCGGTGCGTTCATAAAATAAAGACGTTAGTGCACAAATCCTAAAATATAGGCTGATCATTATCACCAGCCAGATATAGCCATAAACACTCAACTTTGGGGCAAAAGAAGTTCCCGTTTTTTCGGCTCAGGCAGGATTTCCTAGCAGCGAAACGGGAACGCTGTCGACCCAGCTAACGAAGCGAACGAAGCGTTCACCGCGCCCGGCTATCCAAAGCTTTCAAAGTCTGGGAAAGATTTTTAACGACCTTCGTCATAAAAAGGGCGTCTCGGGACAGGTGCCTTTCCGTCGAATCTCTGCTGCCGGCATTCTTAACGGGACATAACCCGATCGACGACCTCGACACTCTAGGGCTGTGGATGGCCAGGATTATGGCACGCACGCGCTGGATTTCACGGCTCGTTCAAAAACAATTGTCACGCAACGTCTATAGAAATAGCGAGTTTCGGGAAGAAAATAACATAGGGAATCGTGAGAAGGAAGACTTCGACTTTGCGGGGTGGGTGTGGAAGGAAAGGGAAGACAGAAAGAAAACACGAGGCCAATCGTATATTCGTATCGACCCCCATTGTTGTTACGAACGCAAGGTTAGCACAATACTGAAATCCATATGAAAGACCAGCTTCGGTATACGTGAGGTGCGAGTGGCCGTATCTTGGCAATATAAAAGGAATGAGAAGGGAAAATAACAGCTGTCATGGAGACCTCGCTATAGTTCTGAAACACATGTTCCGCGCTTACAAGCGCACATTACACGCTCCCGATCGTGTACGCCAGGGGCTACATGGCTACGAACCACGCTAAGAGCTCGAAGTGTGGCAGCTTGGGCTAGTTGGTATGGTATGACGATAGTTATGGCGCGAGAACAAAACGACGACAGTTTCGTGTCTTTCGTGTCCTTCTTGTCTCTGCGTCGTCGTTTTGTTCTCGCGCTATACTATCGTCAAGAGCTCGTATTTCAAACAACGTCGTCTGCTCTTGGCTCTTCTGCTCGCGGGCGGCGCGCTCCAGGGACGGGGCAATGAGGTACAACACCGAGTTCGTTGCATAGACAAATGTGCTGCGATGCACACCGAATGGAGCATCAATGTCTTCATCGCCACTGCACGGAGCGGCGGGCGAAGTGCACCTCGAAGAAATTCCGCCGTCATGACCTGGAAATCGACACCAGCGCCCTCGATATTAGCAGGATTAACAACTAGATGTCGTGTAGTGATGTTCAAGCGCACGGGCCGGTATACGCACTAGCCTGTTTTGTTGTCTTGCTCTTGAAGTTGGTACAGTGTACCGCACGCCGACATCCGTAATGAATGGACTCCGTAATAACGACGGAACTCTTCCTCTCCATATCGGAAAGGGAACGCCATCTATAGTGATATGTCACTACTCATCTTTATCGCTACGATTCATCATTCCAAACAATTAGGCCGCATCCAGTATTATTCTATCTTTCATGTGATAAAAGCATCTGCACACGTATCAAAAAATATTTTGTGACCTGGAAAAAATAGTAAAACAGGGCCCAGTATTCAATCGCCGAGCTTATACACGTTTGAAGTGATGGAAGTGACTTTTTTACTTTATGGAACAGACTTTGGAACAGAAAAACTACCCCTTTGGAGCATCCATAGGTGTTTTTGGAGCAGAAAAGGGTGTCAGTTTGGAGAACAGCTATTGGTGTTTCAGGATCAGATGTAAATTTTGTAAAACAACTCCTGGAGTTCAAAGCATTGCCGAAGAATCTCATAGATATTCATGTCTATTATGAAATATATTTCACAGACAACAACCAATGCGAATTTCACGAAACAATTAAAAATGGCACCATATCCACGCAGTGAATGGTGGATAGTGGGGCGAAGCATCCGTCCGTCCATTCGTTCTTGCTTCCGTCCATCCATGCGTGCGTCTGTGTGGCCACCCGTGCATCCTTCCGCCCGTCCGTGCGTGCGTCTGTTCGTGCGTCCACACGTTCATCTGTGCGTCCGTCCCTGCTTTCGTCCATGCATCCGCTCATGCGTCCATCCGTCCATGCATCTGTCTGTGTGTCCGTTCGTGCACCTATTCAACACTACAAGTACCACCATCTCGCATCTTTTCATCATATATTCCTCATATAGAAGCACCGCCATCCAGCGGACATTCCAAGAACTGAACAGGAAGAGGCACACGTACACTTTCTTCCGGCTTGCGCTTCGTGTCTACTTCCCACCTTTAACCACCTCGAGCTCATGATATATACTAGTTCACTGTATTCATGGCACTGCGGCCCAACGCTTGTTAAACCTTTCTAAAACCTAGGAGGTTACGCCCAGCGAGTATAACGCAGCAACCCTTTCTTGTCTTCTGTGTGTTGTTGAACAATAAAAAATTCACAGTGTGCGCGTTAACTAAAAGCCGAATTCTCCTGTCTCTCATTCCCCCTTAGCAGCCATTGGCATGTACATTGAGCACTATATTTTATTGTTCAACAACTCACAGAAGAAATTTCTCACCAGCACCACCTTGGAGGTCAAAATGTAATACTGATTACACACTACGACTGCTGCTACGGCTACGAGAAACAAACAGGTGCCGCTATAAGGAGTTTCGCCCCTAAAAGAGCGGAAGCCCGGAGGCTTACTAAGAGGGTTCAACTTAAATTGAGAACGACGCAGCGAGCGATTAGTGATAGGTGTAGCCTTAAGAGACAGGATGTGAGCAGTGTGGGTCAGGGAATAAACGGGGGTTAATGATGCCATGGCTGAAATCAAAAATAAGTAATGTACATGGGCCAGGCAGGTAGTACGCAGGCAGGATAATCGCAGGATAACCGCTGGTAAGCTGACTGCATTCCAGCAGTAGGCAAACGCATGAGAGGGTGACAGAAAATTAGGTGGGCTTAAGAAGTGTGCAGATATAGTACGGCAGCTGAAAGTACAGGATACTGGGTTGATTGACGGAACATGACAGCATGCATGGGCGAACCCAGCGACTCATTTCAGGGGGGTGGGCGGTGGGGTGTCGTTTGAAGTAACACCGAAATAAGGGCCCTAACTTTTTTTATTTTAGTTGCATGAAAACCCCGTCATAGCATAAATACTGTAAATTTGTGCTCACAGTGGTCCTATTAAATATTTCTATCTAGTAGGTGATAGGAGGTGAATGACAAGCACTGAAAATAGGGAGGTGCTGACACAAGCTCCGCGTGGGATACGGGTATCACCAATACCCCCCCTGCTACCCTCCCTCTGAATCAGCCACTGCATAAGAGAGGCCTTTGCTCTGCAGTAAGCGTAGTCAAGCTGATGATGATGAATCAGTATGAGATCAAAGCTATCTTGCTCATTTTCATGTTTTACCAGTCTGCCTCTCCAGTTAAAAAAAAAAGTTATGTGAGCTACATGCTTGACATGCCAGTTGCTGCTCTATAAATAAAGTCAGGGCTGATAATGCTGCACACTTGTAGCCTTGGCATGCTAGTGCGCAGAGTTTTTTCTTACGAGTTGGGTGTACAGTTTCTTCATTCTCATTCTCTCCGCGCCATTTTGGTGGCAGGTTTCGAGCAATCA